GAATAAAAGTATCGTCCTAGCGATCGAATATTCTCTTTCTTCACAATTACTTCCTGGAACTCTCATGCTTGCTTCTATTGATAAGTTAATGTATTGTTAGGTTGGAGCAAGGGTCCGGATTATAATAAGGTGTAAAAGGTCGGATTTGTGTTAAATGTAGAATTTAGGCTTAGGGTAGGGCCAAATTTCGGCTTTATGGTTAAGATGAGTGCTAGGGTGAATTTTAATGTTAGGTTTAAGATTGGGGTTACGGTCAGGATTATATTAAGGGGTAAAGGTTTGGATTCATGTTAACTGTACGGTTTAGACTAGAATAGGACTAGGATAAAGGTGAAGGTGAAGAGCACACTCTGGTTTTATGTTAGTTAGGCGATAGTTTAGGCTTGTAGACACGGGCATAGTTCCCATGCTTGAAATGTATCGCAAGGTCAATTTCGGACGGGGCTTTCCTGTTCTCGTGTCTTGCCAAGGCGACAGGGAAAGTCATCCTTACTAAAAAAAAAGAAGCAAGAAGAATCTGAACTGAAGGATGCTGACGGTTTGTTGATGAACGTTCACACGACCACAAACAGAACTCATCTGTCCCACTCTGTCTTGGGACTCGACAGAGGCCCTGACAGCTGTAGCAACTGGTAGTATATGCAGATAGTATTGCCGGCAAAGATGAGGGCATAAGTAGTATAAGTAGTGCACCTCATATACCCCTAGTCCCAGAAATGTGTCCTACGGAAACGGTGGTTATAGGGGTTTTAGAGGTGGGGAAATAGGATAAGCAGTGAAGGAAATTTGTACAGTAGTCGCCAAAGATCACGCAACATGTCGACATATACGAAAGATTGATAATCTTTCGCTAAACGGCATTGGCTCAGGGTGTGATGCTGATTACCGTGGAGTCTATTCTAAAGTAATTTCAGTCATGATAGGAGGCGGGCTTTTTAACGAGCCTCGTTTTGATCATTAGCAAAACATATATATTGTAAAAATGGCTTCTTAAGTATCATGCCTTTTTATCATTTATTTTAATTGCCTTCTTTAAATTTTATACTCAAAGAAGGCGTAGCTTTCGGTTTTAAGAAAGTTGCTAATTATGGGCTTTTTTACAACTTTGAGGTGTTTAGTCATAATACATCGTATCCGCCAATTTATTAATGATGCCTATACTGCATAAAACATTTTCCACATCTATTTCAATATTTTATGACAACTATGTTACTTCTTCCTCACACTGTAGGCGAAAACGAACTTTTCCTTAAACAGAATGTACACAGAGCGCAGTATTTAAACCTTGAATTTGAGTGTAGCAGTCACTAGGCTAGAAAATTATTCGGCAATTGAGCAACTTCTTCTAAAACCGAAAGCTACCCTTTCTTTGAATATAAAATTTAAAGAAGGCGTAATTTGCTATCAAATTACAAGAAATATTTTGTTCGTGCATGTTTTCCATAAAATAAATTTGAATTTATGAAGGCAGTTGAAATAAGTGATAAAAAGGTATACTGCTTAATTAGCCAGGTTTTACATTAGATACGTTTTGCTAGTGGTCAGAACGAAGCTCGTTAAAAAGCCCGCATACTATCATGACTGAAATTACTTCAGAGCAGACTAGAAGATAATCAGTATCACAACCTGAGTCAATGCTGATTAGCGAAAGATTATCAATCTTTCGCATATGTGGACATGGTGCGTGATCTTTGGCGACTACCGTAGGAGCAACTGGAAAGAGGAAAAATGCGGTCGGATTTGTTTCCCGCGGCCGCTGGAGGTAAGTTGTTCCGCATGTAAATTGAAGGTGTGCGCGGGGCTTCGCACCGCGGACTACACTAATCTAGGTGGAGAACGGTAATTTGGACCTCAGGTAAGTTGACGTAGACGACCTCCTAACCACCATTTCTATTTTTCGGGAATTTTAAGAAACCTGCAATTGGATAATCGGGTTTTTCCGCAATACTTTAAACGATTAAGAGAATCTGCAGATGTAAATCAACAGTATTTATAAATACAATAAAATAAAAATGCATATACCAGTTATTGAAGTATACTCTACTGCCTATCCTAATTCCCCACCCATAAAACCCTTTAGTCACCGTTTTCGTAGGGCAAAATGCCGGGCCTAGAGATTAATGAGGTGCACTACATAAATTGCAGTTGCCAAAATGTGTGTCAATATCCCTCGACCTAACCCGGCATGACAGCGAGCTCGTGGCTCAGTGGTCAGGGCGTTTGACTCTGACCAATGAGTTCGCGAGTTCGAGGCTCGGGTGTGACACCACCAAAATCTGGGTATGACTTGCTGACGACGGCTGATACTCCAGAAATGGCCATTCCAGTCTCCCTTGTCTTCGCCGGCAATACTATCTGTCTAATGACGGCTGTTTTAAGAGTTTATCAGTAGGGGAAGTTTTCTCCAATAGGCAGAAAAAACCGCTTTGTTCACAGTTAATCAATGGGTTTCCATTTGATTTTTTTTCTTCCGGAAAGCCAAAAATACTGACCGACACGTCTAGTGTCTTTTGTTTTTATGAGGGCTGCCATTTAGACGTATTTTAGGGTTAGAAATTGGGAATGTTTACGCTTCCTGGATTTATTCGCAGGACCACCTTTTGTTTACATGGGTGGAGCATTCCTCTGTAGGATAACGGAGATAGAGGAGGTACTATTGGGCGAAAATTTGGGCTTAACACGACTGCAAGTGCCTCGTTCGTCCTCTCCTCTCATCTCTCTGCCTCCTAAACGGCCCTGAAATGTAGCGCAAAATATCCGCGTAGAAGGTATTCTACCCGCAAATGTCTCGGTAAAGGGCTCAGCACAGACACGTAAAGCCTTCAACGCTTCAGGCGCCCCTGATCTACCAACCTTCACATCCTCCTTCTTCTCCGCCGACTTCCCGACCTTATCAGCGTGATCCAAACTCATGAGAGCAGGCGGCATGTCTTGAATACAGCCGCGAAAGACTGGATATAAAAGTCCTCCACTTCTCTTCTTCCTTACCGTTTTCTTCCCTCATCTAAAAGTTGGAGTATGTCGTACAGGAGTTAGGCCGGAACTTCAGGTCCCCAAAACATGTACTCTTTTGTGAGTCTTTTCAGCTTTGTGCGCAACCATACGCCATATTATTTACTTTTAGCGGGCATCGAAGCGTACTTATAAAGGCTGGAGGTGAAAAAAGTGATAGCAGAGCGTAGTTTCGATCTACGGACCTCTGGGTTATGGGCCCAGCACGCTTCCACTGCGCCACTCTGCTACGATGGCGACCCAACCAAAATATTTAGAGAAGGCAGAACTTATTATGTGATTAATGTGCGTACATGCGCGCACATGATTATGGTGCAACTCCAGTGCAATCACAGTCAGCAAAGTAGTTTATCTGTGCAGCGTGTGAGGCAAGTTATCACAAAAATGTACAACGCATTTCGAAGGCTCGTTATCAAATTAAAAGTTTGTTTAGCCTGTGGATGCAATTAGTTCCTTTGCCATGCCATTTGAAATATAACTGCGTGCTAATATTTCAGTCCGTGAATATTGCAGCCCAGAGTGGTAGAACATGGTACACAGAACGGCTGACCTGTCCTCAGTCGTCTGACTAATAAAACATCCCGATAGTGCTTTGTCCCGTAGATGAACAGGAGCCAGAGGAACCTCTTGCCAACCAATGACCAGTTTTTTGGTAAATCAGAAAACATGCAATTAGACGTTATTAATAAAAGTCCAACGTGTCCTTCCTTTCTTCCTTTCTATGTCAATTTAGCTTTTAAGTAACTCCTATAAAAGCCATCTGCAAACATAAATCATACATGCACAAAACTATTACTGCGCTTTCTCTGAGTTTTGCTTTATGAGTGGGCTGGCGGAGAATTTATTGAAGGTAGAACGCTTCCACTGCGCCACTCTGCTACGATCGCAGTGACCCAGGCCAAATATTTAGAGAAGGCAGAACTTATTTTGTGAAGAATGTGCGCATGCGTGCATATGATCACAATCAACTTTAGTGCAACCACGGTCAGCAAAGTAGTCGATCTCTGGTGCGCGCAGAGCAACAGATCATATAATAGAACAACGAATTTCGGAGCCTAGTTACTAAATCATTTTTTGTTTGGACTGTGGATGCAATTGGTTCCCTTGCTGCACCATTTCGGATATAACTGCGTGCTAATACTTCAACCCGTGAATATTGCAGCCAAAATTGGAAGAACGTGGGACACAGAACGGTCGGATGGTTCTCATTCATCCGACTAATATAAGATTCCCGAAGTTAGCCGCCTCATTGGTGAATTGAATCAAGCAACAGTGAGGAGGAAAAACACTAGCTCAGAGGTTGCAGTTCACTCGACGGTACCTGACCATATTTTCATGTTTATCGA